GCACGGTGTGGCTGGCTACCTCCTGGCAAACTGTCCGTATTGCGGACCGGCACGGTGTGGCTGGCTACCTCCTGGCAAACTGTCCGTATTGCGGACCGGCACGGTGTGGCTGGCTACCTCCTGGCAAACTGTCCGTAAGGGAAAGCGGACCGGCACGGTGTGGCTGGCTACCTCCTGGCAAACTGTCCGTAAGGGAAAGCGGACCGGCACGGTGTGGCTGGCTACCTCCTGGCAAACTGTCCGTATTGCAGACCGGCACGGTGTGGCTGGCTACTTCCTGGCAAACTGTTCGTATTGCGGACCGGCACGGTGTGGCTGGCTACCTCCTGGCATTGACAGCAACCTCCAGCTCCTTGGATTTGAGTGCAGCAGTTCTGAGGATGGAATCGGGGATCTCAGCCAGCCGGGCCACGTTAAGCCCGTAGCTCCTAGCGGCTGCACCCTCGGTCAGCTGGTAGAGGAACGTGATGAACTCCGGCTGCACCTCCTGAACTGGGGGCGGGGGGGAGCATATATTAACACCTGTACAGATTTACCTAATATGCATTCATTCATAGGTTTTATCCCCTTGTAGGACATATTATAAAGAAATTCACTGAATAACACACTAAGAAAATTACAACAATAATAATAATAATAATGAAAATTGAATTTAGTCAAAAACATTCACTAAGATGGCACTCACATCGACCTTACACGTTGAGCCAAATTGCAACTTCATAAAGGCAAAAATGTACCCTCAGATCAACAATTCACATGATACTCCTGGCTCACAACTTGTCAAGTTAATAAACCCGACCACGAGAAGGAACTTCCCCAGAACTACATGAAAAGCGTTTCAGCCCATAACTCCTCCGCACACCATAGGAGTGAGGAAACACACAATGGATGAGAGAATGGCTTTTTACTGAAGCATTCTTTGGTCGATTATGACAAAATTTTGTTTTGGAACAGTACTAGGGCAAGGCATTAATTCCAAGAAGTCAGCACAGTTTTCTAGCACTACGTCACAACTACACAACTTGGATAAAAGTCTTACGATCATCGTGTTCATCCGGCTCGTTCAACAGGAAGGCCATGTGGTAATTACCAACATGCGGCGGAAAGGTTTTCTCAAGCTCGCACAGCGGGAGATAGTGGGTTACGAAGAGCGTCAGAGACTTCACCTGTTTGGCCAGATATGGAAAGGAGATCATGGTATCATGGCTCAGGATAGATAAACAAGCAAACAAACAACAACAAAAAATTACATAAAAAAATCAGCCTCACTTTAATTTTAAAATACTTGATTTTTATTTTTAAGAAAATATACAGTTAAATTTTAAATTTAGAGCTGTATGTTTTTATGGCTCGACTTAAGATACAGCAACACTTAATTACCTCTGACGTGGAGCAAGCCTTATTAATCATCATTAGAAATCACAGTCATTATTATTTTGAAGCAACTTAATTTGGTCCTGCGCTGCAAAATTATGAGAAATGGAGCATCATGAGAGTTTTAAAACTTTTGCAAGGGCAATTAACAAACAAATGTGTTGCTGTTGCAGTTCCTCTTTTGCAATCTGAAAGTGGATGATGCGATTTTACTGGTCACAAGGCTCCTGGACTCAGTCTCTCTTAGTTGACGGACTTTACTGGTATCCAGCACTCATATGCCTAATGAAGAACTTCAGGGCAGCATATGCAATGGCAAATGTGGAGTAGCATGCACTTCAATATCCCAAAGGTTGTTTCCTGAAGTAATACTCTGTCTGAGCTGCTAAGTTAAATATTTACTGCAGTCAAATGCTGAAAAACACGTTTAATTCAACAAAGACAGGGATTAACAAACTGGCGAGGATGAACAGGAACCACCAAGGCAACCGTATATCTACATATTTGCACATGCAGGAACTATATACACACCAGACAACAAGGAACCATATTACAGTCTCAGCTTTATCTTTCAAAACCCAAACAAGCAACAACATGCGAAGCCCCAATAGCCAAAACTTCATTCACACATTATATTCCAAGTTACTAATATGTGATAAATTGTTTTCACATCGTTTATTTCTCTCACAGGCTAAATTTGCACCTGTTCATTTAGGCAGACCTTTTCCTGTTTGCAAACACATCCTTCTTCCCTGTATTAGAATGCAAATTCAGTTCTTAAGCCACTGTGAAGCAAATCCTGAAGGTGGCTGAGTGGTGTAATGATGGTTTAAAAAGCAGTGCGTTTATCTGGTAATTGACGAAGCTGAGAGCCAAGAAGCTTAGCAAGGCCAGACTCGCTAAGAGGCTAAGCGTGCCCACAGGTTCAGTGACGGGAAGCTAGCCAGGTGATAGGGGAAATCATTTCATGTGTGACTCATCTATCTGAAGATGGCCAGCAAAGGAAGACAGAACAATTTAAGCGAATGAAAATGAGTATGCAGATCAGAAGCGACACGCTACGATAATGTGCCCGGTGGTATAGTCAGAATACAAAACACAATCATTTAATCTTTTTACAACACTGCAGGAAAGCAAAGTACAGTGTCTGCAATGTGTGTATTTCTGAGGCTGTTCAGAAGCACCGGGATCTGCAGACAGCAACAGGAAGCTTGTCATCAAAGCACCAGCGAGTTCAATGCTGCAAATGCATCCTAAGCGCTTCACTATGGCAACAAGCATCTCCCTCCTAACCTATAGGCATAGACAGCCACACATCAAGGCTGTCAACAATGGCAGAGTTATGCTATATGAATATTTATAGATCAAATAATATAAGGACAATTGTAGCAAAATGTTGACCAACAAATTCTGCTCCAGGATGGATTATAAGACAGTATTGCACAGTAAATGTACATTTCAATACCTTTACATTCATCCGTTTTGTGTGGCTAGTGTCAGGATAAAATAGGTTACTCTGAAAATAGCTAATAATAGGTTAATGAAATTTAATTTGATCAAGATATTTTTGGTGAATTAGAGGAGAATCTCTTAAATACACTGCTATGTTTTTCATTCGAATAAAATATTCATCTGTTAAATGCTTCCATGGAAATGCAAGCACAAAAACAATATGGGTACCAATGAACCTATTCAATTGGACACAAAGTACACTTCTGCTTAGTTTAGATATTACGCCCTGACTCTGCTCTCTTCTAATTCTCTGTTGTGCGATAATTCTTTTTTCTCTGTGCTTCTGTACGCTGGGAAATATTCAGCTGACAGGCCTGGTCTTCTCGTACCATGGATGGTGAATCTCACCAGAGTGCACTAATTAGCCCGCGGTTCAGAGGGCCCCCACGTGGAGATGTGCCAGGGGGCCTTCTGTGTAGACCCACCCTACACCCAAGCAGTAATCAGCACCCGGGGACCTGACGACACTCTAAAAAAACAACCCAGCTATGTGGGCGTTCTGACTGCAAACGAGGTCCCCCATGGACGTCCAGCGATGTTCTCCCTCAGGTGGCAAAGCTCGCGGTGCAGGCGTGCCGCACTGCCAGCAAGACCAAAGGCAGCAGTCGCTACGGAGACGTGCAATAGCGTGCAATAGCCCCTAGAGTACACACTGTAACAGGATTCTGACCTCAAGTGGCTCCTGCCTTGTGTTGTTTCCCCCTCACAGGCCTACATAAACTATAGCGCCAATTGTAGGAATTTGTAGCTGCTTTATTGATGGGCTGTCCCACTAACGTTGGTGCTATGATGACATCAAGACTATGAGAGACATATTGTGCTATTATACTGTTCACAAATCAGCTTAGCAAAATGAATAAAAATAGTGACAATAATAAAAAGCCTGGCATCGCCAATAAGATGAAGTGGTCCACCATGTTGGTGATCCGCTCGCAGCTGCAAACATACAAACAAATCCATGTTAGCTCAGCAGGCTTAAATCTAATTTAGGAGTTGACTGCCCATCTGAAAGTGGATGATACTATGTCACCGGTCACAAGGCCCCTGGGCTCAATCTCGCTTGGTTGACAGACTTTATTGGTGTCCAGAACTCACATCCCTAATGAAGAACTCCAGGGCAGCATAGGCAATGGCAATGCCGTCATGGGTGCTGGTGCCTCGCCCCAACTCATCCAGGATGACCAAGGACTTTGGCGTGGCCCGAGCCATGATCTCCGAAGCCTCCAGCAGCTCCTCCATGAATGTGCTCCTACCCCGAGATATGTTGTCTGAGGCACCCATCCTACCAACAAAAGGATAGAGAGTCAATGCGCTCAACAACGAAACACACCACAGAACAAGTACCATCACATACAATTACCATGTGCATTTAATTGCACTGGATAACAAACAAAGAACACTGAACAAGCTACAATGTGTTGTAATTAACATATTAAGACGCATCAGTAGGTGACAATGAAATTCATTACCCAGAACCTGTTCTCGGATCTGTATCAGATGGTGTCCTGCAGATTGTTAGTAATTATAAACACAATAGCATCTCAATCAATTCTATAATCCCAACATGGAGAACAAAGAAGGGATTTAAAAAAAAACCCAAAAAACTTAGAGCTCACACATGGACATGACCAGATGTGTGGCTGCTTTGACATAAACTGGATCATATGAGTAGCTTTAATTCCCACATGAAAGGCTGCCATATTTTGTTTCTTAACACTTCCTGGGGAGAACCTATACTGAGACTCAAACTCTTGACTGCTATACTAAAGGTGACGGTTTCCGAGGGAATGACCTCTGATAAAGGCATACAGGACCATGGCATCATGTGGGACATTATTTCTCTATCAGTTTGCAGTTTTCACGACCTCATTCAAAGGCAAACATAACAGTAGGTAAAGTTAGGCTACACTGAAGATTAAGAAGCAGATAAAGAAGAAGAGCCACATAAATTATCAAGAACCCATCTCTTGACTAATATCCCCAGTTTTAATTTAGTAAGGGCAGCAGTATTTTGGGTCTCTGAAGGCAGTTTTTTAAAATTGCAAGAAGAGTGGAGGTAGGGTATACTCTTTCTATACTCCCACACTGGTTTTAAATAATCCCAAGGAACACCCACTCTCTGAATCAGCTTCTCAGAAAATTTACTTCTCAACACTAATATGATCCAGCGAATGAATATCTCACAAAAACATTAAAAAAAAAAAGATGATACAGCTTCAAGTAGAGACGAACTTCTGAGTTACCATAAATACACCTACAGTATATACAAAATAGTATAGTTACTGTAATACTGATTTTCAGTATTCTGATAAAAAAGATGAGCATGGCAAAAGACAGCGAGAAAAAAATAACTTTATTAAACCATGTGGTGCAGTGATTAAATGGTAGCTAGATCCTCAACAACTGTTTCCTAAATAATAAGCACCACTGCCTCCAATAGACAAAGAACAAGAAGGTCTAATAGAACAACAGTGCAACGATATTTACCGCAATCTTTTTAATCATATCTGGTATCATGCAGTGTATACAATACAATACAATACAATACATACCATACTACTTACAGTTAAATGACTACCACTGCATAAAAGGCTGAAAGATTCTGTCAAGTCTTTTGAAAGTAAAACAATATGCAGATGATAATGAACATTAAGTAATATAAGAAACAAATTAATTTTAGATTAATCTTGAGACAGGATAAGTTATTATCATCTTGTTTATTAGCTTTATCAACTGATGAGCAAGGTGGGCCTGACATCTACATGTGTGACAGTGCAGGCACTTTCGAGCAGGGAGACCAGCTACATGTGTGACAGTGCAGGCACTTTCGAGCAGGGAGACCAGCTACATGTGTGACAGTGCAGGCACTTTCGAGCAGGGAGACCAGCTACATGTGTGAGAGTGCAGGCACTTTCGAGCAGGGAGATGAGAGGACAGACGGTTTGATAAATACAGCCCAAGGCTCATTTTGTTCTACTAAAGTCCACAATTTCAATTAACTTGAATTCAAGCTAAAATAAAGACTTATTGTAGTCATAGAAGGTTATGCAAAGAATCTCAGCAACTTGTAAAATTCTACATGGTGATAATGTTTGTAATTTGTATTAGATGTAAGACATTAATCTGTTAGGTGTGTGTACACTTGCAGTGAAAATCAAAGGATTGTAATATTCTGAACATAAGTAGTGCAATTAACATTAATGAATTGAAATTAATAACTACAATCCATATATAAATGATCAGCAAATCAGTCTAATGAAAAGGTCTGAAGTGACAATGAAGAGCTTGAATTCTTATTCATTATGATCTTGTTCAAATATGTTTACCATCACATAACAATGCAATTCCAATAAAAACTCCATGCTATTAATGAAAAGGGAAGGGAATAGACTACTACCACATCCTATAAAAACACGACAAGGAGCAGGAGGATACATTTATTTCCATGAATTTCATTTGAGCTTAACTTTTTAAACTAATAGTACAATTCCTTAACTTCATGTTAATTTCCATGAAATACAGCTTCAAAACATGGGGAAATGATGACAAAATAGCTAAATTAAAGCAGTAATTAAATAGCAAAACTAAAGTGGGAGGGTAGAGCAGGTACCTGCATGCATACACACAGGAACTGGGGTCTGAGGAGCCCTGAGGGAACAGAAGCCATAATCTCACCGTATGGCTCAGTCACAATGCTATGTTTATAACGTCTATGACACTGCATGTAACTTCCAATTTCATCTAATACTCCAAGATCGATATCAAACATATACATGAAAATGTGCTAGTTAATAGCTGACTATCAGATGTCTCAATCACAATAAAAATGTCGTGACAGAAAGACTGACAGATCATTGCAAAAATGACAGCTTTGCAACAGATGCATAAGGAACCAGGGAACATAGAGCATATTAACCACATTTTCACAGGGGGCAAAAAAAATCATACTTGGTAATGTACAGAACAGCCTCTAGATTTTAAAGGTGGCCTTTTTTTAAGTGTTAACAAACTGAGATAATTCACAAGAGTTTTGCTTTGCTGTTATAACAAGAAGGTGGGTATAACATTTAATTGGTGACAGTTTCGATTCTAGCAGGAAGGCAGAAAGATTGAACCACAGCTTCTGTATTACTGCATAAACTGTTGTTTCCTGATAGCTGTTGCCAGAAAATAAATTAAATCAGAATGACAGGGCAAATGCTGTATTGTGGTTAGCATCAACAGAAGAACACAGTTCACCCCAGATTTGACATTGGGTATATTCAGCTACAGATAGAATTGTAATCAGAAAATAATTCACACCCATTTGAACGCAGCCCAGATGAAGAGTAACACTATCATAAACACTAATTTAATTTCTTTAATCCTAAAAGGGGATACCTATTTCCCAGTCATTCCACTCACTGCAAAAATTATACAAAGTTACATGAGACCAATGTGATGGCGTAACCCACACAAACACAGTGAATACCAAGTCAGCATGTCAATGGTTCTTTTAATCTCTTTTAGAATCAAATGACAACTTTTCAGTGAATAACCTGAAGTTGTATTTTCAGTTCCTACAGAAAAGAAAAGAAAGCTATTTTGTGAATTAGTAGTCATGCAACAAATAGTTTGAGCTTTGGAAAATGTTTTTTTTTTTGTCCCCACGTTTCAAACACTACAGCAGATTGCTCTTTATAATGCTAGCCCCTTTGCTGCCTTTAGAAGGTACCCCCTGTTCAGACCTTTGCGAGTCATCCCAAGCAGTCGCGCTGAATTAGCCAATCACTAGACCTGGTCCAACCCACCAAAAGTGGAGGTAATGGGCGTCTGCTGAAATAGCGCATTGCTGCACCCACCACACGACAGACTGCCTCAGAGATGAGAACCCGAGTGCAGCGGGCGATACCTCAGCACCACACTAGTTCGAGTGGAATGGAACAATGTGAAGTTTTTTTCCAGTGGCTGGAGTGCCAATCCTGCCACCAACCCCCAAATTTTTCTCTGAAAGTTGGAGGACCTGCTTGCAGGGCTGGATGTAGGTTAACATCATACCCAGAATGAAGCAATTGCAGGTTAAGGGCTTTGCTCAAGGGCCCAATGGAGTAGAATCACTCCAGTCATTCATGGGATTCAAACCAGCAACCTTATAATTGCCGGCACAGATCCCAAGCCTCAGAGCCTCCACTCCGCTCACAAACCATGAAGTAGTAGCAAAATACCAAAAAAGTTTAATGTTTCATTACTTTCATTTTAAAATTAAAAATATAAGAATCACTGGTGATTGGGTAGTCCATGCAAAATAACAATGTATAGACACACCAAAAAATCAGCTATAAATAACATTATTTTAATTTTTTGTAAAAGGGAAAAAAATACAGTCACTCAATAACAGAAATGGCTTGGGGTGAGCTAGACTAGAAGGTGAAATTTCGAAAAGCAACCAACAAGTGTTCCACATGTATGGAAATTAGAAAAGTATCACAACTACCTCATGAAGCTGGTTGAGAGAAAGCTAAGAACGTCCAAGACTGTCATCAAGGCAATGGGTGCCTGCCCTGAAGAATCAAAGATAGTTCTAACACTTTTTTGTCACTGCATAATTTCATATATGGCCATCCCACAGTATTGATGTAACATGTAGAAAATGGTGAACAAAAATTGTAACATAGAAAATAGTGAAAATAAAGAAAAAATCTTCTTGGGCTTAATGTGTCCAAAGTTTGCCTGGTACTGTACGTGTATGAGCTATATAGAATATACAGTACATTATTTATCCAAATTACTGAAGCATTGGACTTTTTTCTCACAAATGATACAGCACACTGTAGAGGTGTAGGATATTACAGACTGAAGATACATAAAACATCATTTTATACTTATATACTGAAAATTGCTGTACTGATAGTGAACAGCCATAAATAATGCCACATTATTGTGCTGACACAGCATGTAACTAATTCAGAAATGAATCATATATATATATATATATATATATATATATATATATATATATATATATATATATATATATATATATATATATGACGTGAACAAAGGTCATAAAAGAACAAGATTCAGTATGTACCATTAAACTAGATACCTCTCACCTGAGCTGAGTCAGCAATCATGACTCCACCATTAGAAACACATACTGGAGTAGCAAAGCAATCCAAGCACTGCTCACTAAGACATATAAATACTCTTCACTGCACCACATCAACAGATCTTGTCTGCCAAAACCACCTCTAGCATCCAACCTGAAACAGTATTCAAAATTTCTGAATGTGTCTATGGGTG